CCCCAAAACCCCAAAACCCCAAAACCCCAAAACCCCAAGCTTAAAGAGTTGGCTTGAACGAGGGTAATTTTAGAATAGGAGAGGACAGTGGTTGGAAGGTTGGTAGGAAGGAAGAGATTGGAGGTAGGAGGAGGGTTTTAGGGAAATAAGGAGGATTTTGGGGGGTTTTGGGGTGATAATGGGGGTTTTGGGGTGAGAATGGGGGTTAGGGGTGATAGGGATGGTTTGAGGTATAGAGGTGTTATAGATAAGATATGTTTATGTATGTCTTAGAGAACAATTTTGGAGGTTTTAGTCAAGATTCTTAGTACACCTGGCAAAAATTGACTGTTTTTCATTGTGAAACAGTTTTCAGGGGTTGATATTTCTTCAGGTTTAGGTAATTGTTGATCTCTAGAGTATTCCTTGTCCCATTCTTGAGTGTAATACAAGAAAAATCCATAATGACCAACAAGAATAACCTTCTGATCTCTAAAAACTTACAAATATTCTTTACTTAGGAACTTGATTGTTTTCAATATACTCATTCACAAACCTCCTTACCCCGTTCGCTCTATCCCTCAACCCCCACCTTGCCTCTAAAACCTCCGGGTGTACTTTCCTTGCACATTCACATAAAAACTCTCAAATTTTCCTAAAAATCTCATCAACTTAATCCCAAAATTTCCAAAATTTCACTTCTCAAAAATCCTTAACGTACTCATCAGCTCTTCTACTCCCTTCGTGTTCCTGCTGGCCACCACTGCTACAAGTCTGATTGAATTCTTCTTTCATCTAAAATTTATTTCTGAGTTCACCTTAAGCATGAACTCTTCGTTAAATTTCTCAAGACTAAGGTCGCCCAGGAACCAGTGCTCCCTGCTTGTTCTCTGGTCGACCAGAGAAGTGTCTATAGGAGTTGAGTTGAAGGGACTAAGGGATTTAAGGTTGCCAAAATTGGGGTTAAAGAGTACTCAGTTCAGCTATGTCTAACTGAGGAATCAGCTCTCTAAAGGTAAACCAATCAGTACTTGAATTCTTCGATGACTTCGTCGATATTTGAAGGAATGTCAGAGATTATGCTGATTGATTCTCTAAGAGAAGGAAGCAGGGTTAGCTTTATTGAGGAAAAATCAGGATGATCTTTGTACACGTAGTATGCTGTCATCAAAGCTCTCCTCAGAGGTGATACAAAGATTGTATGAATAGGTAATTGGTTAGCAATCTTTTGGGATTCAAGACACTGTTCAATGCCTAGTTGATCAATTTCTGTAAAGTAAACAAATTAAGAATACTAGCATCTCTGTTTGCAGGATTGAAATCACTATAAACAGTTTTAGGAGATTAAAGAAATCTTACTTGTTGAGTAGGTCTTCATAAGGAATATCATTGGGATCTCCAAACTTCCTTCTAAAGAATCCAAAGTTAAAATTACACTAATTCTTCATAGGAAGCATTTGCAGTTGATCTCGCATGTCTTTGAAGAATCACTTGTGGTCTAGTATTTATGTCATTTTACTTACCCTTCTATTAAAGCCTTGATTTCTTCCTGTTCAGGAGTAGAATCCAGATCCATTTATACTTTAATCTAATAATATTTAATTCCTTTGTTCATTCATTAGTCTAAATTTTGGGGTTTTGGGGTTTTGGGGTTTTGGGGTTTTGGGG